AATATATTCTACGGGAAACTTGCACAAAGTTATGCTTTCTTAGTACAGAACTACGTCTTTTTCACAATGTTTGCTTACAAGGAGTATACTTCGCCATTAAAACACCTTCTCAATAGCGTAATAATTTTCAGCCCGACCCGCGGTAACACATGCATTCGGAGTTTCCGGACCGCAGGTTGCACATCTGCTTAAGGGGACATTAGACATTAGATATGCAATTTCAGGACATCGGAACCTACGACAATGGCTCCTCAGATTTCATTAAATTTTACTTGTTTCCGAAAATATAATTGGGATGATTTTCGCTGAAAATGTTGCTTATCGCGGAATATAAGTGTCATTTTTTCTCCTAACGAACTAGATAACAGGTTGCATAAAAACGAGGCTTTGCTCTATCAATCGGCAACTTCTGCTGTTTTTAGAGTGCTCTGCACGTTTTCACCGGACTATCGTTAAGCACGACAGCCTTGAAACAGGAAATGAAGTGTCGATGTATTCTTATACAGTAAATGTGGACTGCCCTCTAACCGTGGGCTAATAGAGAGGTGTACAGGCCACCTTATTGTTCAAACCTGTACGCAGCCTCATAACTGTGTGGCATTCGCTACTCGGCTGATTTGCGCTACGTCAACCAATATGGCTCATCTCAAACTAAGGCGAATTGACTCTAATTTGCCATCCACATGCGGTTGGAAGAGGTTGAGAACAATCCGATATAGATCCTAGGCTTCGCTTCTTTACCCTAAGAACACGATGAGCTTCCAACTTAACATGTCAAAGATTGTGATTTGACAGGTTTGTAACTGAGGAGAGGGTTTGTTTACTCTCCGAGCCGATGGAAACACTGAAATGACTTCTTGACACCGCGGTGCTATCGCCAACTATCTTTGATGAGACATCTGAGATTAAAGGTACAAGCGAAAATACGAGTTCTTGGAGACGCTCGAAAACAAAATGACTGGACTGATGGTAAAATACCTTCATTCGCAAGGCCTCCGGATTCCCCGTCAAACTCGATTGCAAAGACAATACAAACTAAAAGTAGCAGAC